TCTTTTCGTTCTTTTTTTTTTTTTTTTTTTTCATCTTCTTTTTCTACGTGTTTATATTGTTTAATGAATTTTAATGATAATTCTATACAGTAATAAAATACAGTAATGGAATTTTTTTTTTTTTTTGATATATCGTATTCAAAATATATTATTTTTAGAATGGTAGCATGGAGCAATTATTATTAGCAATGGATGAGGAATTTCATTTCATGTTACTTTTTGTGGAAAAAATACCGAATTCAACGGAGATCTCTCAAAATGATATTACTAAATTAGTTGAATGCAACTTTTTCGCATTATTAGCATTGAAACTTTGTTATGGGTCATTTTATCATTAATTATTTGTTTTATTTTTAATGGAAATTTTATGGATTAAATAGAAATTTGAAAATTTTTAATATTTCAATTATTATTTGAAGTAGAAAAAATTTCAAAAAAAAAAAAAAAACAAAAAAAAAAAGGGGGAAGAAATGATGAAAACTTAACAGAAAGAAATTTAAAAAAGTTAAAATTAAAAGAAAAAAAAGTTAAAAAAAAATAAAGCAAGAAAAAAAAAAGGAAATATTGTATTATTTTTATATGATTTAACAAATCAATATTTTAATCCTAACAAATCATTATTCTAATCCAATGATATGATAACAATAACTTAATTCCTATATAAAATGATAAGGGATAAAATTTTTTCTTTTTTTCATGTATCCTGTAAATTTATTCATTTCCTACTCCTATTATCATATCCATTATCTTTCATAAAAATTTTTTATCTAAGATAATTTAACATATGTTTTAATTTAAAATTTCTTAAAATTTTTTAAAAAATTTCAGCTGGACAGAAGGTAATAGCTTACATATGGAACAAATTGAAGTGGATATAGCAACAATACCACAACCATTAAAATTACTTTTTACTTTAATACAAGAAGATGCTAAACGATTTCAACATCTCATACAATGGGATCCACCATCTTTTTCAGCTTTACTTGCTTTACAATTTCTTAATACAAAAGGTTAATATTATTTTTAAAATAATTTCAATAATCGATAAATTAAATTTTTCATTGCATATAATTAATTGGAAAAGAAAATACATTTACGAACAAACAATTGAGCTTAGATGCATACCTAATTTGTTATTCAAATTGTGCTTTTTCTTTGGAAAAAAAAATTTATTGATTGAAATTTTAAATTTTAAATTCTAGAATGTGGTGTTGAATTGCTTAACTCAGATGCAGCAATTGATAAATTACGAGGTACCATAACAAGCGCATTAAAAGATCATTGTTGCAATTCATCACCTCCTCATACCAAAAAATTACAAACAATTATTGCCCAAGTGAGTTTAAGTATTTTTAAAAGGTGCAAATGTCGCACAGAAATTTATTATTTCATTTTTTTTTTTTTGTGAAACAAAGCATTAAGTGCCATAGAAAATGTGCGTAAATGTTTTTTTTTTTCAACAATTAAGTTTTTTTTTTTATTTTTCTCATTCACACAAAAAATTATCCATAAAATTTTCATTAAGGTTCTTCTTGATGATTTGCAAATTTCAATAACTTTGAACATTATTAAATACGCTTCTTTAGCTAATTCTTACAAATTCAATTCATATGCAAATTCATTTCAAATCCATTTCAAAAATTTTTAAAAATTATACCATTCGAAAATTTTACCCACAATTTTTAGCCTTTAGCAATTTCCATTTCATTTTGACCAATACATTTTATTGTTAAACTTTTCTTGATCTCTTTGAATTATTTTGCTATTTTGTTTCAATTATTTCATCAATAATTTATTTTTTAGATTGAAATGTTCGCCCGATTTCAACGTATCGGACAAGAAACTCTATCACTTATTGTTTCATCTGGTGTGCAATTACCGCCTTTAGTATCCGGTGCTATTCAAACTGCCCAACGGTTTCCTGGTCCATCGAAGTTGGACTTTACGGAATTTTCATTTTGCCCTTAAATGGAATTTTTCGCGCTTACTGTAGCAATTCCTCCTTGACATTGCCAACATTTTCTTCAAGTTTTTTTTTTTTCGGTTCAAATTAAGGGAAAAATAGATTGGCCATAACACTTCGCCTTTAATTACGGAAATTTTGTACCAAGCTTTCTGAGCATCCTTGCTTTCTGGTTGACAAGCTTTCTTTAAAACCAAAAAAAGTTTGTCGACTTTTTTTTTTTGTCAACCCATTGGATCTATGCCTTTCTTAATGAAATGTTCAAAGTTATTTGTGACAAATTTAACAATTCTAATCAGTACTTTTTCATTACGATTGCGCGGTCTTATCACACTTTTTTTTTAAAAAAAATGAGGTCTTTAAAATTTTATTTTTTTAAATTGAAGAAATACAAAATTTTGTATCAAATTATTCCTACAATGATATTGACTTCAATTTAATTTGCATTTAATTAAAACGCCTTTATGGAATAATATTAAATAATTTTTTATTTTAAATAAGAAATGGAAAAGGAAATTTGATACTAAATACATTTACAGCAAAGGCTACAATTAACAAATATAATTTTCATATTTATTTCTTTCATCTAATTATTTCATGTTTTATTAATTTACCTTTTTGACTAAAAGGTTTATTTTTTCAATTTCAATTACAGGTTGCTTTACGTTTTCTTGTGATCAGGTATCGAATTAATTGAAATTAATCCTTTTTTTGAATAATTTTTATGGATCTTTGAAATATGTATGTG